TAACAACACTTTTTAAATGTTTACCATCCAAAATTTCATTCCAACATTTTTTTTAAAAAAACTTAAATATATTGTCCCCACAGATACCCATTATATCATCGTTAATAATAATCATCTAAACTACTTGAAAAATATAGCATTACTTCATCCAAGCCGGCCAGGTTCCCTGCAGACGAAAGAATACTATTTCTCCATTGACTTTAATGTTCAGGTCTAATGTTCATCTTTTCTTTCTTTCACTTTTTTTAGTAGAAAACTCCTTATATGCTGTATATCTTATATTAATAAACAAGTTTGAAGTGTCATCAATTTATTTAGGAGCAATATTAAAGATACGGGTGAACGAACAAGCAATGAAAAAGTTCAAGCCATACAAGGCTCCTTACCATCATTTGATGTTTATCTTTCTGCTACCTTTCCAAGTTATCAGATAGAAATTCCATTTGATTGGTATCCAAAGTAACAGATCCACAAGTTCTTGTATTGAATTGTACTTTTAATTATGATTTAATTGTTATAACCTTTCATTTTTTTTACTGTTATTTCTATTATTATTGTACATGATTAAATAAAATCACACAAAGAAAGTCGATGGGAAAATATAGGTTGGCAAGAGTCTGATGGCATAAATAATGGATCAAAGGAGCAAAAACATACAATTATTATAACATTTAATATGTTTTTAGAAGAAGTTTGTATGGATATTTGCTTAATTTGGAATGAATAGAACCAGTTGTTGAATTAGATTCAGAAACTAGTATTTCGGTTGTAAATCTTGTCAAGTTTGTTCAGTATTAAATGCATAAATTTTGCTGTCTGATTGATTTAGAAATTTATTACCAATATAGAAATTGTATTGGAAAAGAATACATGCATTTTATAAAAAACATAGTTTAAAAAATTATTCATTCTTCTTTACTAATTCATAGACTTCTAATTCTTCTAATTCTAATAAATCCATACCTATAAGGTTGAAATTATTTTCATAAGAATCATCAAAACTCTCTTCAAAATAATAATAAAAATAAGGATCATTATCAATGCTACTACATGATGCAAAATTGCAAAAACTTATAGTAACTTCACGAAGTCTTATATTATTTATAGCTCCACCACATTTTTGTCTACTATGCCATATTGCTCTTTCTGAATTTTCAACTCTACTTATTATTGAATTCATTATTTGATTTTCATCAATCTCAAAAATAAAACTTTTATTTGTTTTAATATAATATCCTTCATCTGGAGACTTTTCTTTAATATTCCAACCAACAGGATTATAACCACCAAATAATTTTCCTGTTTCTTTAATTTTCATAATTGCTATAGTCCGTTCTACATCATAACATTTTTTTTCAAAAGCAGACCTAGAAAATCTATCTTGAGTTCCATTGAGAATTAATTTGAATTCATAAGGCAAAGTATTTGGATTATATATGTCATTTTTTTTATCAATCCAGCCAGAAATTAAACATTTCTTTTTTAAATTTAATAATTTTCCTCTTGCTGTTTTTGTTCTTGGACCTTTTTGGAGTAATAATATTGGTTCCCAATTATCACCAAGATAATATTGAAGAAGTTGTTCATATATTCCTTTATCAAATGATTCTTTAAATAATGCAATTTTATCATGAAAATCAGCTGAAGTGATGTTATTGAATCTTATCAATGGGATTACATCTATTAATATATTTTTTAATATGACAAAATCATCTTTGTTCCACTCTGAAATATCTTTGTTTAGTTCTTTATTTTGTCCTATACCCCATTGAATAACAGAGTTCCAAATGTCAATTTCTTTTGCTTCAAGATCATTTCTTTTTAATGTATATGTAAGGATAGATTTGTCAATATTATTAAATTCTGATGATCTTAAAAATAGTTCAGGATTGTCATAAATTAATTCATTAAAGTAATTGTGAAGTAAATTGAACAATTGGTGATCTGATGAAATTTTATGAACATAAACTAAATTATCTTGAATCCAATCTTTTTTTTCAACTATTAAGTGATTTTGTAAACCTCCAATTAATTCATTAAAATCTAATTCATCACATGCTTCAAGGAGATCAAAGGTTTCCTTTGGATTCAAGTTATCTATATTCACAATTCCATTGTAAATATATCTTTTAAATTAAAAAAGTTAAAAAATTAAAAATTTTTTATGAAAAGTTATCATTATAATCATTTATAATTAATCGATCAATCAATCAATAAATAATTCTTACATCAAAATAACTTCAAATACTTTTGGAGAAATGTTTTTTTTCTCAAATAAAATAATACTACCATCATCAGATTTTTTAATCCAACTATTTGAAAAGGCAGCTTTGAAATATGAAGACCTTGCTTTTAAAATAGTGGAGTGAGCTTTAAAAGTTTTAACATCCAGACCTTCTCCAACTTGAATTTCCACATCATAATAGTCTGTTTCAATTAACAACTTTGTTAAATCATTTACAAGTTTACTAATATAGTTTAATGATAGAGCATCTTTATTGGAATTTATAAGTTTGCTAAATAATGAGTTTATATTTTCTAATGTTGAAAAACGAGTTGACATTTTGAAAGAATTTATTTCTTGAAACTTGAAAATTAGCGTTTGTATTCATAATACAGCCTGGGTTTTTACCATATCTGTATCCTTTTATGGATAGATCTGCGTTACACGCGTCTAATATGTCATATATAGATATTTCAAAAGAAGATCGACGATTTATACGTGAAGAGTATTTTAAAAATCGAAAAAGTACCACTTAGAAAAGTGGTGCTGCACAGACTATATAACACCACCTCAAAATTTGCATAAATGTTCTGCTATTTTTGTTCTTTTCTGAGCAGAATTGGATTTTGACTTTTGTTAATAGCAAAGTTGCTCTAAATTTCGTTTATTTCAGTCATAAATTTCTGTCAACTAAGAAAGTTGTAGAAATATGCATGGATAAATAGCATTAACCTGCTTTGGCAAGTTATTTTCTTTGTTAATAAGGATATTAAATTGTATTCCAAATCATTTTTTCATAGACAACCCGAACCCCTTTATCCGAAAACCCGTTAATATGAATGTCACTAATAAAATTTTATAAACCGTAAACCGAAGAAATTTTTAATTTTTCTGAAGCCATTTATATGTAAAAATTGCCCCGTTAATCCAAATTTTTTATATCCCATTATGCAAATTTACGAACTCTAAAAAGGATTAATGTTTAGAGATAATTTATTTATCAATTGAATTTAGAACATTTACCAACTTACGTTATTATTATAGTATTTAATATAATGGACTTTCGATTTTTGATCGACATTCGAAATCATCACGTTACACTATCGACATAGTCAATAAGTAAGTTAAAAATGACTCAATCTAATAAAGGTCCTTGTTCCATTCTCAATTGTAAAAATTCAAAACCTTATAGAAAATTTTACTATAGTTTCATATACTAAATCAGTTGATGGTGAAACACTTTCATATTTCAATTATTTAAAAGTCAATGAATCTCAACTTTGCAGATTCCATCATTTACAAATATGTAAACCAAAAAAAAGGGAAAAACTTGATTCTTTTGAAAATTAAAATATGAATAAGAACAAATCTATAGTTTTACTATAAAAGATTTATTAAATGATTCAAATGGTAAAATATAAACATATTATAAAGAAAAAAATGCACAATTCTGAGCCTAGGATGTCTTATAATATATACTTACATTGATCACTAAAGCTTGAAATATAGCTCCTATGTAACCCTTCAAAAGCGACTTGATCATTTGATCGTTTTTCACACACATACTGAGAACATAAAAAAGCAAAATATATACACATAGGTTAAACAAGTTTTTGTGCGCAGTCACGCCTATTTTTCTAGATCAATGATCGATTTTGTCACTTGTGATAAAACGAATGTCCACTATGCTTGATCTGCATGATTTTTATATATAGAACCTGAATTTAGCAAGAGTTCACACAGATCGTAGGTGCCACTTCCAAATTAGAAAGATCCTGTATACTCAGCCGATTCCTTAAAAATAAATAAATAGTGATTTTTTTTTAATTTGTCAAATGTCTCTTAATTAATTCAATTTGTGGGGTTTTTTATCATTAGAACGAATATAATATATTCTAGATGGTCTCGTACCAATTTTATCAAAATACTACATTCCAGCCTCCAAATATGAATAGAAACACCAACTGATTATTTGAAGTATTTTCAACCAATCTCTTTGAATAAACCGTGAAAGTTTACTGGACCAGTCAATGGTAATATTTATAAAAAATCAGTATAGAGGTTTCTGCCAGAATAACTCATAATTGGCTTTGGGTTCGAGTATTCTCTTCCATCCAATTGCTCTGGTGGTTTTTCATATTAAAGTCATTATGTACTTTTATATGTATTAACAAACATAATTTATTGTTTAAGCCTTTTCTTCCTGTGACATATCTTTTATCACCATACATTGTAACTAGCCATTATAATGTTTATTTATGACGATTATAAATAATTTGGTGCAGAAATGACGAGAGAATGATATCAAATTATTTTTCCTTTTATAGAATCACAAAGCTGCATAAAATCATTTGTGAAAAATAGGATGAAGAATATTAAATCCAACATATCAAACGCTGAATGCATGAGAAACTCCAACAGATCCTTTACTCAAGTGCAAATTCATGGTATCCCGCCCACTTTGAATTCCTCCATTACACTTTATCCTTGGAATTCAGTTATTGGATAACTGGAATGAATTTACACATATTTATGCCAAGGTCTAAAAAAACCTTATTATCTGAAAATATATACTAATACCGAAGATTGGTTGGAAAGAACGAGTATTTCAAAAAAACATTGGATAGGAAAATTTTCGTCTAGACAAACGCCAGATTCCCAAAAACTTATAATGATTATTATTTATTATCGGGCATTCTAACAATTCCTCCGGGTATTTTTATTTTTATTTATTTATTATATTTTGATCTGCATTGACTTGTTATCAAAAAATAAAATGGATTATCCAACTCGCCATCAAACACTTACCACACAATCAAATTGTAATGTAGTTCCTACACCACAAAGAGATTATGAAAATTCATCGAGAGTTGTACCTCAAAGACGAAATAGAGCAAATTCTCAAGTTTAGTATTATTATAGCATAAGTTGTGTGGTTGTAGCATTCAACGCTTGTATCTTTTTATATCGCTAATTAATTAATTAATTTTCTTTTTGTAGATGACTTTAATAGAAACAATGGTCACTCAACTACTTGTTACTACCAAAGCTTTATTAGAAAGTTTAAATGGTTGGGCGGCAAAATATGTTAAAGAAAAACAAGTTTCTGACATATATGTAAAGCTTGTAAGTGAATTTAACTCTGTTGTACAATTATTTTCTCAAACTGGAGTTGACATAAGGTGAGCTAATAATATAAAAATTATATATATATATATTTAACAGCTAAAATATTTAATTTATTAAATTCAAAAATAAATAAATTAGTGATTTAGTAAATATTCCAACAGATTTAAGAGCATGCTTAGAAAAGGCATTGAGCGAAAATGCCTCACAAAATGCTTTAGAAAAATATCTTCCTAAAATAAAAGAAACAATTGTATCATTAGTGAATGGATTAAGAACAAAACAAGCACTATACAAACAAATTTATAAACCTCCAACTAATAATGGTTCTATTGGTAATGGCGGTGATGTTGAAACAGTGAGAACCACAACTCTGCCTCCGCCTCCACCACCACCAATACCGCCCCCACCAATAAATTATCCAAGGAAGTCGTCTATTCCTAAAAAGGGTCATGAAAATAATTCATTGCCACCACCAATATCAGCAACAGTGGCAACTTACCCTAAAACACATGTGTTTTCCGCCTCTCCATCATCTCCTATTTCACCTCCTACTCCAATTTCTTCTCCACTTCTTTCTCTTCCTTCTCCCACTTCTTCTTCAAGGTCAGTACCTCATAAGGCAGCTGATCCAATGGATACATTAATACATACCGAAAACCTTGAACGTCGTGCATCTAAAAGATTTTCTGCATTCATGAAAAAAGAACCAGGTAAAAGAAATTCTTCACGTATAAATAACCAGGTCGATTTAAGACCACCTGAACCTGAGCCTAGAGCTATAGAGAAGCCAAAAGAAGAAATGGTAATTACTACAACAATACCAACAGGTCAAACTAATCAATATATTAATGGTTCTAAAGATGCTACTATTGCAGTAGTAGATAAAATACAAAATGTAGATGAAAAAGTAGTAAAACAGAAACAAGCGCAAGAATCAAATGTAGATGAAAAAGTAGTAAAACGGAAACAAGCGCAAGAATCAAATGTAGATGAAAAAGTAGTAAAGCAGAAACAAACGCAAGAATCAAATGTAGATGAAAAAGTAGTAAAGCAGAAACAAGCGCAAGAATCAAATGTAGATGAAAAAGTAGTAAAGCAGAAGCGAGTACAAGAATCAAATAAAGATGGCGATTTTAATGATAATAATAATGATGATGATAATAACAATAATAACAATAATATAGATGCAAATGTTATTAAAAATACTCCAATTATAAATAATACAAAATTTTCAGGTAAAGATTATTTTAATAATTAAAAAAGTGTTTTTTTATTTGTTTATTTTCATTCTTCTAACAAAAATTTTTTTATAGACGAGAAAGAAAAGAAAAAAGGTATCAAATTATTTCTTCAATTAGGCAACAAAGTTAAGAAAGTACAATATGAGGGAGATGTTGGTATACCAACATTAAGAATATTATTCATTGAAAAATTTCAATACAATCCAGGAATGAATGATTTTCCTCAAATCTATATAAAAGATCCAAATGTTGGAATAATGTATGAACTAGAAGATTTGAATGAAGTGAAAAATGATTCGGTGTTGGCTTTAAATATTGAAGATTTTGAACAAATTAAGAAAAACATTGATCAAAATATTGGTGAACTTACCAAGGAATTTCGAGAAATAAAAAAATCATTTTCAGAAAATAGCAAATTATTACGACATGATGGTATTGTTGCAAATACTCCATCCTCGTTACATCTGAGTGAATCACATTTTACACAATTGGCAAATAAAATTTTAGAGAATGTGAGTAAACAGAAAGATTCTGCTGATAAAAAAGTAACAGAAGAGCTTGTGTTAAAAATTGTGAATGAAATCAAAGACCAGTATAGCGAAGCACAAGAGCTTCGAAGAGATTTAGGAGTGATGCGACAAGTTTATGCTGAGTTTCAAGAAAATTCTAAAAAAACACTTGAAACATTATCAATCAGAACAGAAAATTTTAAAAAAGTAGCGCTAACAAAAAAAGTTTCATCATCGAGAACATTTATCGAAGCAGGTAAAGCCAAAGTGGATAGTAAAACAAGAGCCTTGCTTGCCAGTGTTGATGATCTTCAAGACCTTATTGATAATCTGAAATTGGATGTTATTCAACGAAGGAGTAAACCTAAAGATACAACAATTCAACACGTTAAAAATGAATCAATGAATGTGCAGAAAGAGCTTTCCTCATTGCAAGAGTATCTTAAATCAGTTACACCAATGTGGAGAAAGTCATGGGAAGATGAGTTGAATTTGATTGTTGATGAACAGAAATTCCTTAATCACCAAGAGCAATTGATTGAGGATCTAATGAACGATATTAATAAATTGACTGAAGTCTTTGAACAAATACTTAAAGTCGCAAATGTTCCCAGAGCCTTCTTTCTTGAACCTCAAGAAGAAGGATTCGAAGGATTGAAGGCAGTTCTTCAAGAGGTTAAAGGTATAGTACCAGATCAGGAAAGAAGGTTAAAGGCATTGGAACAAGTAGAAAAACAAAGAGAAAGAGATTTAGCCAATCATATTGATGAGTTTGAAGCCGAACTTGGATCACTTGTAACAGAAAATAAATTGAAAAAGACGGGAGGAGCTGAAGAAATAGAAAAATTGCGTCAAAAGAATAAAAAAAATTTAATGACATTACTTAGTACTGAAGCGCCGTCATCGTTGTCATCACCGCCACCATCACCATTATCATAGAAAATAACAGTTCATGATTTACATATATAATTGACATTATTATTTTAATTTATTATTTTTTTTTATTATATTATTTTGGTTATAAAATCAGTTACGAGTATGTATATAATAACAATAAAAAATTTCGATTTGGTTGTAAACTTTGATTTCTTTTTTTTTTGATTTTTTGCTACATAAAATTCTTTATGGCTATTAAATTTCTATAAAATAGTTTTTTGTGAACCTCTCTAAAACTTATTAACTAACACCCCATAAAGTAATAACCATATGAAAGCTTATAGTATTCTACCCTTTCTCAACTACTATCAAGCGATATTGAGAAATAATCTGAGGTTTGAAGTGAAAAAGTATTACCGTTTTTGAATTTACGTAGAGAAGACCTTTCAGTATGAAAAGGTATTCATTAAAAAGCTTTAATGGAGTACTTTCATTTTACTCTAACAACAAAAGTTCGAGTTTACAAAAATAACGAAAAAGCTTCATGTCATGTGACACGAACTTTCAAATTTATAGGAATAAGGATATGTTGTACACGACTAAAATAAATATTATAATTAACTTTTACATAATAATATATGATAATAATAAATAATAAACAAAAATGACGGAAAAATCATTTTTTGAACTATTATCCGACCATGAAGACTTGTACTCATTCTTCTCACTTACATCAAATGCGACATCAGCAGAAATAAAAAAAGCATATCATAAACTTGCACTTCAATATCATCCTGATAAACACACCACATCATCTGAAGAAATCTGTGCTGAAGCTACGCGTAAATTCCAAGCACTTGGTTTCGCATATGAAATACTTTCTGATCCTAAAAAACGTGAAAGATATGATAAAACTGGTGAGACAGATAATAGTCTCGAAGGTCTGGAAGATTTGGGAAAAGAAGGGTGGGATGCTTATTTTAAAGAATTATGGTCTGGTGTTGTAAATGCAAAGTCAATAGAAGAATTTAAAAGAAAATATCAAGGTGAATTTAATATATAATGAATGATATTATTTATATTGATTTTATTAGAGAATATATATTTACGTATATGTATTATACATTTAAATAATAATAATTATTATTATTATTACTCTATATATAGGATCTGAAGAAGAACATGATGATCTTATTGAGGCTTATAAAAAATTCAAAGGTGATATGGACTTAATCATGAGTGATGTGTTATGCGCAACTATAGATGATGAACCACGATTTTGTAATATTATTAAAGAAGCAGTAGCTTCCAATGAAATTATACTATATGAAAAATTTACTGAATCAACCAACAAGACCGCAACAAAAAGACGTAAGAAGGAGGCTAACAAAGAAGCTAAAGAAGCAAAGAAATATGCAAAAGAATTAGGTTTAAATCAAAATTTATTAGGTACTAAAGAAGGTGAGGATGAACTTCAACAACTTATAATTAAAAAGTATGAAAAACGATCAAGTTCATTTCTTGATCAATTAGAAGCTAAGTATTGCAATGAAAGTAATAATAAAAACAAAAAAATTAAAAAAAAAAAACATTAAAAAATTTGCAAAATAATTATTAAAAAAAAGAATGATCTAATTGCTGTAATATATCTCTTTTCTCTAAATTTGATAAAATCAACTGTTGATCTCTTTTAATTTTCAAACAATAAATACAAATTTGTAACTTTGCTAGCAAGCACCTTCAAAACTTTCAAGACAGTCTAGTAATTACTTTGCAATCACTAGCAATTGCTAGCAAGTACCCTCAAAACTTTTGGGACAGTCTAATATATTCTTTATTATTATATATGTTTGTTTTCGGTATATGTGTTTTTTGCATATAGATAGTTGATTGTTCATTCAAGTTATATCAAAAAATTATTAATAAATTATATCATCATACAAATCAAAAAAATCATCATCATTTTTATCAGGTATAAGAATATTATGACATTTTAAAAATGATTTATATGATTGAAGTATTAGGAAATTTTTTCTACAGATTCCATTTAGGTTTTGAAAGAATTACTTTTTAAATGAAAATGTTTCTTTCTGAACAAATATTTTAATAGTTGTAAAAATATTGTTATCTTTATTATCTTTGAAAAATAGTAGGATAAGTTACAAATAAGTACTATTTTTTATCAATCGATAATCATTCATGAATTGTTACAATATTATCGTAACAAATGTTTGAAATGATTATATTCAAAATAAATACAAGTATCCAAAATAATTACGAGTATTCAAAATAATTACAAAATAAATTATATATATTCAAATATCCTTGAATAAATTGATTTTCGAGTAAAAAATTTGATTTTCGGTTAGGAACACTAGGTAGGGTAAAGGAAATTCTAAATCCTAAATTTTTTAATTTATTACCTGTTTATTTATAACTTTAATAATAACTTCGGTTATAAAAACCCGAAGAAAAGTTCCTGCACAATTGCCTTTGGTGTTTTTACTTGAATAAATGAAATAAAACAAATACATAATTCAAATAAAATGAATAATTTGAATAAACAAATACTAATAAAACAAATCAAATGAAATAATTCAAATTATTCATATAATCAATTTCTTTATCTGAATTTTCTTCACTTGATGCATATTCTAAATTTTTATTCAATTTGTTATTTGATTTGTTTTAAATGTGGAGTTTGCTTATTTTGTCTTGGCCTTTTTTAATTGGAAGAACGTAAATTTGTTAGTAATGTATTGTTTGTTGATTACTTACAAAAAAAAATACGATTATGGTTCTGAACTGAATTTTATAATTTGTTCTGATCACGTGTTTAGAATATCTTTTACTAAATAGGAAAGAACATCCCGTGCCAAATTTTATTTTTGATAATAAAATCGTGCAACTTCAAACCACTAAGGCTTTTTTTTTATTAACAAAACTGAAAAACTCTCTATTTCGTTGTTGCTTAGCTTCTAAAGATTACAAAAATAGAGAATTTTTTCAATTTTATTAATTAAAAAAAAAAGCCTTAGTGGTTTGAAGTTGTACAATTTTTTTGGTGTCTTTAGATGACCTGTAACAAAATACAAGACTATTATTTACTATCAGTCAAACGATATGTCACAGGAAGTGTAATTACATATATAAAATAGAAAATCCGACTCGTGTAACAAATCAGTTTTTTAAAATATCTCATTATTTTTATAACAAATACAAACATCATTATTAA